GTACCCCCCCCCCCCTTCGGGGTTTTTTTTAGAACCCCCCCCCCCCCCCCCCCCCCCCCCCCCCTTCGCCGGTGAGAACCCGGTGTGCTAATCCCGGCTTTGTAGGGATGCGGGGTCAATGGTCGAACGACTACGGCATGCACGGCTATGAGTACCCCCCCCCTACCGCCCCCGCCCATTATATACCTTCACACCACACGCACACGCACACATGCCCCTCCAGGACTACTGCCTGACGGAGCCCGTATGGGAGCCGGCGGTGGAAGTCCTCGACGCAGACCGGGGAAGCGGGTGGGGGCTAGCCACGGCCCTGCTCCAGGCGAGGGGCACGGCAGCGTCGTACTTTGACAGCGGGGGGTACGGCGGCGACTACGACTATGAAGAAGAGAGTGCTCCGGAAGGGGGCCCCGGGGATGCGAAGGGGCTGTCCATGTCGATGGCCAGCACCCGGGGGGTCTTGTCCCTGCCGTATTTCACCGACGGGCAGAGATGAGAGATGTAGGGGCGGACCGCCCCTATGGGTAAAGTTACCACACACCCCTCTGGACAGATTTTCGAAGGTTGGTTGCTCTGCAGCGAGAAACAGAAACGATTGCTGCTGTGTGGGGTTGGACCATCGAGAGCTTTCCAAAAACTAATATATCGCCGTTTGATTTTAGCACCCTCTTCTTTAGGCACATGTAGAGGTTTGAAATTCGGTCGAGGGGGGGGGGTGATGTCTTGTGTCAACCTACGGTAGGTTGGCTTGGTCGGAGGTTATTTTTGTGCATGAGCGAGGCGTCGACTTGTTCGTGGACTGATGCCATTCCAGTGTTTTTTTTTGTTTCGTTTGGAACTCTTCTTTTTTCTGGTTTATTGAAGAAGAATACCTCTTGTTCCCTTGATTTGGCCGAGCTTTTGACACGATGAAGCTCCATTGCTCATCGACTGAACTCCAATGGATGAAGTCACGCTTTTTCGCGTGGGCGAGATGTTGTCCCCGTGAAGTTGCTCGGCCCCGCTCTTGTGTAGCTCCGTTTGATTGTTTTTTGGTACAAAATCGTCCGGGCCTCCGCCTCTCAGCGACAGTTCGTCCGTATGCACAAGGTACAGGGACGTGTCTTCGCGTACACGCACGGGCCGGTCGATGTTAGACCCACGCAAAAGTAAGTCACTTTTTCTTCTGGGGGGGTTGCCCTCTCGTTTGTTTTTGTGTGGTCGGGGGGGGGGGGGGGTAAGAAGCTGTATTTTACGGATGTGTATGCATGCATACACGCATTGACGAGATTAGGTTTGCCTTTGTGGTTGGGAGAAGTAGCGAAGTGGTTGTTCTTGTTGGCAGCGAAGCTAACCGACGCTTTCACATGTGACTCCTTTGTTGGTTGCGAAGGCGAGGCGGTGCATAAAGGTGACGGAGGCGGTGGTGGTGGTTGCACCGTCGCTTGTGGTCAACGTGAAAAATGGGGGGGGCGGGGGGGGATCGGACTGGAAAGAGGCCAGAGGCCAGAAGACTGTGCTAGAACGCCCAATTTTTCGGACCAGTGGATATACCGGAGGGATTGCTGCCGCAGCCGCAGCTTGATCTATATGGTAGCTTGTGAAGCCCTAACTGGCAACAACGGAGCAGCAGCAAGTACCCGTCGCGGCTGCGTGCTTGCGTGTCGGCACACGGCATGGCGGCGCGTGGGTGTGTGGGTGTGTGGGTATGTGCGGGCCTCGCGACAAGCAGCACACCTGGGTCCGGGCGAAGGCTCGAAACAATGTCGCCAACCACAGCCAGCCGTTTGCGGCAGCAAAAGTATGCCATGTACAAGGACAAGACAAGGAGACAAAAAAAAAAAAGAGGAGAGGCAGACGAACGTATCACGCATACGTACGTCGTCGGGGGGGTGTTCATTCATCACACGTCCGACTCTCTGCTTGGCCGATTTCCACTGCTGCGCCAAACACCGCAAGGATGATACAGTCTTCGCCAACACACGCCCGGCAATACGCTGTATGCTGCGTGTACATCGCCGAATCGATCATCGACAACATCATCGTTTCCGAAATATCGTGCATGGAATGATGTCGGCTGTCTGGTGTCTACCCCCCGCATGTCTGTTAATTGTTGAAAACCGCTACACACATTGCTTGCGAAGGTACTGCTACTGCTTCTGCTGCTGCTACTGCTGCTGCTACTGCTGCTGCTGCTGCTGCTGCTATTGAAAGGGTTTCAGGAGAATGGGGGGGGTCTTGTCCTCGAAAGAAGGTCGGATTCACCCCGGCTTAGACATGAAAAGGGAAAAAAGTGTAAGATACTGTAGAGAGAGTGTGTTCTCCGGCAGAGAGACACGATTTTTCCGTAACACAACGATTTTTTTTCGCTTCTTCTTCTCACCCCTTCTACCAGAACACCAGGGGGAAATAAACCAGAAAGTACCAACCTATCGGCTGATGTGATACTTTGTTTCTATAAGTGCTTGCCCGGCGGGACTGTCAAGTTCCCCCAGCCGAGGGAGGGTATACGAACGCCGTTGAACATGACAGTGCCGCGTTACCAGCACGGTGGTGTCTCGGCAAGAGGTTGCTGCGGACTCAGTACGACCTCCCATCCGTGTGCTTGCCTCTTCCTTACGCCGCAACACTGAACGACACCTCCTGCACGTTTCGCCGGTCGCAAAACCGCGCGCCACAGCTGCAACACACAGTCTACAGGTAGGCGTGTTTTGTGGTTGCTATTCGTTTTTTCTCTTTACTCTTTCATCCTATTTTCTTAACTCACTTCCGCACAGCAAGGTTTTCACCCATACTCCGACTGACACTACCCGCCAGGTTGCCACAAAAAACCACAAAAAAAAGGCCTAAAATCGAAAACGCCCGCCGATGTGGCATCCTACCTACTATGTACAGATGGCATCCGCCCACCAACGCGCGCACTCGAAGCCCTACTGGTGGTGAACTATCTGCCGTCATTTTATCACCTTCAAGACCAGAATTCATCGACCAGTCACACTATACGAGGAGGCGTGTCGCGAACGTGCGCGCGCCGTGGTGCCCGGGGTTCCGCACCGTAACCTCCCCTTCAAGGGGGGCGTAGTAAGCAGCGGCGCCCCCGCTCGCCTCGCGGACACTCGAATACGTACTACGCGCCATAGCGCCGACGTAGACACCAGGCTACCACTTTCATCCAACCGACACAACCAAACAACACACCAAAAACATACCCCCGCCCGCTGCCCACACCTCCGTCTAGCAGGCGTCCTCTTCTGGAGAGCACAGCTGTTTGTTTTTTCCAGCAGCAAGCCAATGAATTTGCTCGGATTGCTCCCTGGATCGTTCCTCTTCCGAGAGAATACGGGCTGCTGACGGGCGCGGGATGAATACTCCTCACGGCGTCACACCGTCATCGACGGGAACAACATAATGTTACGGTACGATACAGACGGCAAACACGGATAACCATCAAACGCACCCCATATTTACAAGGCGGCCGGGCGAGTGCGGGACGGGCAAATAGAGATTAGGACAACTACTACCGCTGTAGCGCCCATTCTTGGCGTCCCCCCCCCGCCGGCACCAATCACGACGTTTGCGCCACAACGCCGCCGCTCAGCTCTCGACACCGCTCCACACCACGTAGGCTGTCTGTCTGTCTTCCCCGACCGGCCGGTACGGGATATGAAGCCGGTACGGAATATAGCCTCCGGCCGAAGCTCAAACCGACAGCCATGCCGCTCGCAGCACTCCTCCGCGATGCAACAAGTTGACTAGCTGGGAAAATGCGACCGTTTCCCTTGGCAATAAATAAAAAAAAGGCGGGGCGGGGGGGACTCATACAGGAGACAGAGAACACCGAACCGTAATGTATCTGTCCTCGATACTTCTCGAAGCCTCGAGCGCCTGCGACTGGCCGGTCCGACACACCAAATGCGCAACCGAAAGAGAGGCAGAGGCAGAGTAACCCTTGCCGACTAACGCGTAGCGTTCCACGCCACACCCGCACGCGTCCCCCCGCAGTCCCTCTAGACAGTCTAAATCACACCATTTCTCGCCGCAATCTCTCGTTGCCAGCCCGGTCCCGGGACAACGTTTGTTGCTGACCCCTCCCCTTCCCAACTCCCAACCATCGCGCCACCCGCCAGAATCACAACCAAAATCACGCAACCAACACCGCCCCACACCACAACCAAGGGCAGGGGGCACAGCAGATGTGGTAGAATACCCCCCCCCCCTCGCGTGCGTCCTTCTATTAGGTGCATTTTCTCTCTCCTCGCACACAATGCACGCAGTCATAGCATTGACGTGCACACCGGTACACCGGGCTGCGCTACAGCCAACCGCATTCCCCAGAGACCACCACCTCCTCCTCCCTGACCACCGGGCTGTGTTGCAGCCAACCGCATTCCCCAGAGACCACCACCTCCTCCTTCTTGACCACCGGGCTGTGTTGCAGCCAACCGCATTCCCCAGAGACCACCACCTCCTCCTTCTTGACCACCGGGCTGTGTTGCAGCCAACCGCATTCCCCAGAGACCACCACCTCCTCCTTCTTGACCACCGGGCTGTGTTGCAGCCAACTGCATTCGCCAGAGACCACCACCTCCTCCTCCTTGACCCCTCGCGGTCCCACGGCGCGAACGGCCCCTCTCGCTGTACCCCAACTCACAATACATGGCACGCCGGCTGGCTCTCGTCGTTTCCTACTAACAATGCTTGTTGTGCCCAATGACGCCGCCGACCTGACGCCCGGGGTCCTGGACCACCCCGCCCCCCCTCGTGTAAACGCCGTTTTGTTTCTGATGGAGACCCGGCAGCCGCATGTTCGGTAAGCCAGGGAGGGTGCGGCGCAAATAAAAAAAGCAGCAGCAGTAGAAGACGGAAAACAAGGCAGGGGCCAACAAGGTCAGGGGGGGGTGGGGGTCGTGGGCAAGATGTTCAACAGCAACTTCCCCTTCGGAGAGGGGAACGGCCAGGCAATTACTGGCTAGCCCAGGGTCCGGCTTTGTAGCCCACATTAAGGAAACACACTTGGAGGGAGGCATTAAACCACCCAACTACTGGAAATAAAACACAACACGTCATTGTTGTATGCACACGACAGAGGTACAACGAGAGCTTACACTCACTACAACCCCATCGCTCACAACAACAGTAGCAGCACCACCACCACCACCAACACCACCACCAAAACAGGACAACAGCTACACCAACAACGGCACCAGCATCAGTTTCAGCATCACGTAGCAGCAACAACAATATCACAACAATAACAACAACAATGCAGCAAAAACGCAGCATGGTCCCACGACGACCGAACGCACCTTGGCCTCGACGCTGCGCAAGTAAAGCCAGAACGGCACCGCCACCCCCACCAGCGGGAACACCGACCCCACGAGGTAAGGGAGGGCCCCCAGGGGCAGCTGAAGCCGCCGCTTCGACCACTCATAGAGGACACCAGCGACCAAGTACGCCGAAGGAGAGGCGG